TTTCGTGGATCATGACTATGTTGTTGAAATCAAGTGTCTAAGCTATGCACGTTACTTCAAGACAATAAAAGATGCTGTGAATGCTAAAGAACGCAATTATTTGAAAATCGTTGATGATAAAATAATACTGAACAGAATTCCTACTTCTTCCATGTTCAAGGTCAAATGAAAGTTACTGGACTAAGTAAATGTTACTTTGTGACCTGGGGCCGGATTATCAAAACATCGCTAAGTACACGTAGCGACTTACGTATGGCATAAGTGCTGATATGAAGAAGTAACTCTAGCGGTGGTATTATCAAAACATTTGCGCGGGAAGCTACGTACAAGAAGCCGTACGTAGCTCTACGCCTGCTCGGAGGTTGAGTGTGTGCCGAAGCAATATAAAACTATTGATTTACTTGCAACACGGTGAATTGTGATAGAATTTTGTCAATAATTCAACATAGGCATAATATGTGATCGTGCTAAACGGTGCTTTTTGAGAAAAAAAATTCAATTAAGTTATGCCAGCTAATTTCTTTTCCTTTTGTGCTACAATTTGCAAGCAAATCTTGATATTCGTATCTAAGAGTTTTGTGATCATTCCAAGCGGCCGCTAGTAGCGGCCGCTACCTCTGAATTAATACGAACATGTGTTCATTCTTCAATTTCATTTTTGTAAGAGAGGTCGGACGAGGGCTTTACGCAAACTTTGAATTTGAATGTAGTATGTGCAAATACTACAAAAATACAAAATGTGTATACAAAAAATGTGTGTCAGAACTGAAAATACAAAATGTGTTCTATCACACATTTTGTGACACACACAAAACTGAAAATACAAAAACAACAAAATGTGTGTCAGAACTGAAGAAGAAAGTCCTGAGCGTGGAGTACAGTCATCAAATTATTTGGCCGTTTCAGGAGCCCTAGCTATAAGTATCGGGTGATCGCAAGCTTCAGAATTTTTGGGATCACTCAGCGTTCCTTTTGTCACTCAAAACACAAATCATAAATACGAGCAAATTGTCAGTGGCAAGTGGATCGAAACAGCTTTCGAAGGCATGAAAATCGCGGCTCAAGAAAAAAAATTGGCAATAGAAGAAAATTAGATTCGAGTAAATAGAGTTGATGCAAATGGTATCCCCAAGATATTAGTTACTGCAGATGGTGCCTGGTCAAAGCGATCGTATGGGCATAATTACTCAGCTCCCTCGGGAGATGATTTGGCTCAAGCGAAAGGAAGTGCAGCTTGAAAATTTATACTGAACAACATGTTACCTTGCATTGTCAATGATGTGTAAATGTTGAATTTTTGTTATACGGGTCATTGTGTATTCACTCGAGCAACCACCGGCGATATGGTGTTAGGGAATTAGAATTTAGTATTTTTATAATTTTGTATTTTTGTAATTTTATTTTTCAGTTTAGAAATGCGGAAGTTAGATTTGTAGGTGATGGTCCGTCCTAGTCAGTCCCGCAGTTGAACCCACAGTGTCAAGGTGTGTTATAACTTGGTTATTTGTTTGATCCTGTGTTTTACATTTTGTGCTTATTCCGAGATGTTCTTTATTCTGTTATATTCTGTAAAGTTTGATTAGTTTATTCATGAGAAGGTTTGTTCATACTTTGTCTTTTGTTCGTTTATTTGTTACTTAAGTTACTTATTATATGTTCTCTTTTCTTTAGGAGAGTTTTGAAATTACAGATTCACAGAGGTGGGCAGTAGCGCGCTACATGTAGAGGCCGCTACTAGCGGCCGCTACATTTTCAGTAGCGGTAGCGGTAGCGGCTCTACATTTAAGGCAATGTAGCGGTAGCGGTAGCGCCCGCTACATATTTAAGTAGCGATACGAGGTTTTGCCGCTACAGCGCTACCGCTACATTTATAGATAAAGCCTTTAGATTTTACTTAA